CTAAATTCACTTTCAACGTTCTTTCAGCATAGCGAAAAAATCTATGAAGGATACTTTTGATGATCAAGGAATACCTCATTCAATAGCTCATACGTAGTCGTTACTCTGAATTGGCTACACTTTATTTTATAACAATTGATCTTGAACCATGAATGACTCTAAACTTCGTATATTTCATAATTAATAAACTGATCTGCTATTATATCCTCTTCCGAGAAATTCAGTTTCATTAACAAATTCACAAAGACAGGAGTTGAATATAATTTTTTTCTTCCATCGAGCATTTTTTTTGCTAACATACAGAATAAAAGTTTCAAGTAATCAAGCTTCACTTAATTTGTAATAATTAATTAATAATTTCTTCCAAGTTTTAATATTTACGACACATTAATAACACTAAGATGTGCACCTCTGCTACATCACAAACTCAACGCAGAAAGGGGGTAGCTTCCGCCATTGTAAATGTCGCTCCATCGAAAGGATCGCCGGCGCGAAATGAAAGTCGGGGCCGAAATCTGTCGCGATTCGCAGAAATTCTCGATCGTGACGGACTTAGAGGTGCGGCAAGATTTTCCCGGGGTATATTACGGAACCGTGAAAGCCTCGGTTTCTCCATCCACCCACCGATCTGTCAGTCGGCCTCTAATCCGTTTCACAACAGTCGAGTTTCACGGCGCTAGCTCGGTCTCGAACGATAAAATTCGTCGTCCCGTCCGTGGCGATTGTTTGTTGCGGCAGGTATTGCGCACTCGATTGCCCCTTATCGCGCCAATTATCAGCAAATCTTCGTATCAGAGTAAATACGGTAATACCGTCGCTGGAACACGCGTTCGGCCTACCGGCGTTTCCAATATGGCCGCGGCGTCGATGTCTCCGCGATGGCTTCGCGTCCACGTGATCCACGTGACCGTTAGGCGATCGTAATTATTGATAAAACCGTGACAGAAACGATGGCCGTGCAATATACATACATTGCTGCAGAGGCTTTAATTTCGATTTTTCATTCGAATTAGTCGTTTTTGGTACCAAGTCGATCATTCTTTCTTATCTTCATAGTACTAAATTACTTATGTAGTTAAGGATTTTCCATTTTTTTTTTCTTCAAAATATTACATGCTGTATCGTTATAGTAGTCACGGAAATGAACAAGTAAGAGGAACAAAAAAGGCAACAAATTGTTACTTTTAATAAAAGTATTTCTTTTTTAAAATTATTAATTCTTAAATAAAAGAGCGTCTATGAGAAAAACTATCATATTGTCGAGCTTGTTCTTTCGTTTTTGAAACGATATATGTACATAAGCATGTATGTAGTATACTGTAAATATCGCAAAAGCTTTTCCTAATTTTATTGCAAGTATCTATGGGAAAGAATAACATTTCGTCGGTCCCGCGAATCAGGAAGTCACGAAGATACCGACTAGGAGAACCGTGGATAACGTTCCCGGTTATTTCTTGATCTATCGCGGTGGGTACATTAGCCAACGTGTTTTGAAACACTCGCGGAGCGTATTTGCGTTGGCATCGACGGCGCGTTGTCTCTCTTTCATCTTTCCACGGTGCCAGGATACACGACTCGCATGAAACACCGCCGGGGAAAGAAAGTCGTTAGTGGTCTAATTACGAACTCTTCCCCTCTAACAGAATGACCCATGCTTGATCTAGCGATCTTTCGTCGCGAACGGATCGTGTCTCGGTCGTTTGTGGACTAAAATTTGCAGAGATCCTTTAATCCTTCCGTGACATCGTCGGTGGCTCCGATGCACCGAGCGAATAAAGACGATGTTTTTCGAGAATAAAATCATTCCGGGATATTTCCATTACGGACAAATAAATCACAAATATTCTGGAAACCAGATGGTATACCATTGAGTTTAGAGATCGAAAATAAGTTCCAAAACAGAAAAAAGGAAAAGCAAGTAAAACGAGACTCGAGATGGAACGATAGGGACCGAGAGTTCGGTTGTGGCATGCTAAACAAGTCGTATTCCTCTCCTCGGTCTCGTTTTTGGTTTCTTTTTATTTTAATAACTTGAAGGTTCTTCGGGTAGAGATCAAAGCGGCTCGTTTTCGCGGTCGGCTCTTCAAACAATCGGAAAATGTTCTCTTGGCGCGAATGTCCCCGATATAAAATGAAGACTCCGCGTTATTTATAACTCGAATACGTCAGCCGCCACGGTAGAAAGCGTTTAGATGTTTTCCATGAATTTGGTTCCGTGTCTCGCGAGATAAGAGGAACCGGAGAACAATGATCGATACGGATGTCGGTGGAATTACTTGACGAGCTAGAGTCAAAGTCGACATAAGAAGAACCTAACTGAATGACGAAGCGATTTGAAAATTGTAACTATTTATGAGTTAGAATTAATCAAACTATTTTATTTTCTGCTATTTAACTCATCCTTTGTTAGATTCACTTTTCAACAAATTCACTTGGCTATAAAATAATGTAACCTTTGAAAGAATTTTAGATAATTTCTATAAATCTAAAATATTTATAATTATTTCATTATCTACTAGGTACCTACACCAATGTGTAAATCATATTCCTTCAACAAACTATGTAACAATTGATTTCAATTCAAAATATCTTTGTGCACTTTCGTTTTCTTTGTAAAATGACAAACTAATTAATATAAGAAATAATGTTTCAGTACAGAATTACTGTCCAAAATCTAAGCATCAACTGTACGATGTACCAACATAATCGTGACGAAACTAATAAACGAAATAAAATACATTTCTGATGCCATAATCGACTCACGAATGAACCAACAAATAAGACATCGTCGTAATACGTTCGATAGGAACGCCATCAGGTGATTTCTTCGCACCGGTAGTAACCATAAAACTCACCCCAGTCTTCGATCCCCTGAAAGATTCATCTCCTTGCCGAAGATAATCGAACTGCTCTACCCCTTTCCCCGACTACACCGTCGCATTATTTACTCCTCATTATCGTCTCCGTGCCAGTGGCACAACTCCCCCTTCCCCGCCCTTTCCGATCCTCCGGCCCTTAATCGAGGAATAATAAAAATCATTCCCGTCGCACGATGGCTTCTCAATAAAGACATTGTCCGCGGAGCAAATTCTTATCCGTGAAAAGGCGTCGTCAGGGGGTTGTTCCGGCTACCCTTCGATAGGGAAAGTAGGGGGTGGAAAGGAGTCACGGATGGAAGACGGGGATGGTAGATTATCGGGTTCTGGGATTACAACAGGCTGAAGCAAACGATTTCCTTCAAAACGCGAATACCGGAGCAGCCGGTGCAAAGTGGCGGCTAGGAGGGGTTGGAGACGAAAAGGGGTGCGGCGTTATTGGCCCTAAGCAGGATACTTATTGAACTCTTAGCGGTGTTTTTATCACTCCTTTCTCTCTTTCTCCGTGGGCGCTTTAAGTGTTTTCGCCTTTGTTTAAAAGACCCCCCCCCCGGCCCTTCGCGCCGCTCGCATTATGCACCCTCGTTATAGGGTGCGAGAGATTCTTACAAGACTCCGCTTCGTAAACCGTAAGTGAAGGGTTCGACCACTTTGTGTCCCTTTTTTAAGCTTGAATAAAGGCGAGTGGGGGAGTAGTTTTCTGGAGCATTTACGTGGGGTGCGATAGTAATGTTTCGATTTTTCAGGATGGCGAAACATTATTGAAGAATTAATCGCTTCGAAAATTTATCTCGTCCATGTACACCATAATAATCTATATGTTTGTAACGTCTGAAGTATTAGTCCAAATAGAGAAAGAGAGAGGATAAGACAATATTTTCGAATAATTCGTTTATGTGCTAGAATAATCTTTGGATTTTTCCCTTTGGAAGGGAATCAAGCGCATAGGAAATCGTTTCGTGCAGAATGCATCGACCTGTGGTTACCGTTTCGCAATTCCACGAATATTAATTAATCAGAAATTCTCAGTATGAATCGACGAAAACGGAAGGAAACCCGATTCGATTCATCAACCGACGTTTCAGAGGTATCAAAACCGTCTCCGTCGAAATCCCGACGATTCCTGTTGGCCCCGGCCCGGATGAATATTCATCGATACACCGTCTCCTATTTATGATCTTCTTTCATTACCAATTCCGTCGGTTCGTCGGTTGCCATTAGTCACACTTTGCGTCCCGAAAGCGTGATTCGAGCCGTTTATCGCGGATCGGGAAGGTGAAGTGCACTCGGGGGTGAATTTCACCGGGTGGTGCGCGCGTGCTTCGTGCGTACGATCCGAGAGAAAACACGGGGGGAAAGAGAAAGAGAAAGAGAAAGAGAGAGAGACTGGGACGAGAGCAGAGACTACATAGCACGAAAAAGGGGAAAGGGAGGGCCACCACGTGCTCTATCGAGTACGTCAATCATTCAGTTCGACGGGCACGCAGCGGAAAGCACCGTGTGTGCAACAGTTAAACGGAATTTCCTGCCCCTGTAGCTTTCGATAGCTTGTAAAAGTTTGTAGAGAAAGTCGTGAGAAAGTTTAAAATATTATCGTAATAATCGAGTTGATTATAATTGTTTCACTAATCAAAGCTACTACACGCTTTATCGTAAAGACACGTGTCGTATGAAACAATGAAAACAACGGTATACGCTATGTAGAAACAGATGTCCTTTTTACATATTACAAATGTGACACATGTTTTTGGGAATTATATTTCAAGTCCCTTAGATAACTAAGTATCATTTTGAAATAGCATTGTCCTAGAAGAAACTTTAAACTTATTTTTGTCTTCCTCGGCTATTTCACCAATATGTACATAAAGATCGGTTTTTGAAAGATTTAGAATACATTCGTGATACGAACCTTACAATAAAATATTTAAGTATTAATTTTAAACTTTCTTTTGACTACCACTGTCACGCGATTCAGAACACCTACCTAATATATTATGAAAATAGAGTTTCCATAACTGTCACGACAAATTCGCCAAATCCTTTTTTATATCTATTTACATTATCGTTAATTATGATTACTTCTGAATAAAGTGAGGTTAGAAATATTGTTGACTCGTGACTCACCTCTTTATCTTTCGCTTGCAGCTCCTGCTCCAGGTTGCTGTTCGGCGTCCTCCTGGGGTTGCTCGCATCGTGTACCTGCAGCTGATCACTTCCCTGTATAGTCTGAGACAATTGGTGTCCCTCAGTCTTCGAATTCCCATCGTTTGCCGCGGCCAGTTGCTCCTTTAACGCAGAAACTTCCTTCTCCGCTAACGTGGCCCTCTGAAAAACACGAATGGAACACTATGGTTAACATAATCCAATAGGAATTATCAAAAAGCAATCTTTATTATTTTGTTCTATAAACGTGTGATTTCATGTAATATTTGTGGATCCATGACAAGATATTAAAATACACAACTGGCCAAAAGTATGAGACCAGAGTTCATGATTGGTGGAACAGTAACTCATTATTTTATTACGATGTAATGAAAATTAGGGAATCAGTACACATTCAAAACATTTCCATTTAGTTTTAGCACATTACTTTTATCAAATCTTTGTAGAATGTGTTTCTCTTTAATTATCAGACCTGGTCCCATACTTTTGGTCGGTAGCGTATATTAAAATTATAAGCGTTTCGGATTTAAAAAATTTATCGAACGATGTAATTTTAACAGCAGTAGACAGAATTATTAACACGGTGAAAATGTCTGCGTTATCATTCATTAAAAGATTAGTAAATTTGTCATAAACATAAAATCTTTTGTGTTTATCAGTTTGATTGAAATAAATCTACACTATTCGTCAGTACCAGGTAATACTAGCGTTCACAAAAACTGTCGAGGAATTCGTTATTTTTAGCCAGCGGTGTAACTTGTCCATCCGACATGTCGCTATTTCGGAATAAATCGTGAAACCTACTAGCCAAGGAAGCAGAAGAGCAAAAGGAAACGGTGGAACAGTTCGCAGACGATATAATCATGGCGATGCCCGTAATGACAAACACTTGCGTCTCTCCAACGAAGCCCAGTGGTTCGTTCGTTCGAGGCGATCCGTACGTCCCACGGCGTATGTTTAAGCCATCAATTGGCATCTGGAGGCAATTAAAGTAAATTGCAATTTCGGCGGTGAAATACCGAAATGCCACGTGGACTAACGTCGACAAATCCACGTCAGCTTTTTTTCTCTCTAGATGCATCGAAGCCGATCGATACATAGTTCCGCGAAACGATGACGCTAGTTTCCGTTCAATTTGTAATTACACGACGAGACCGACGTATCGTAATACACCAGTTATAGATTTCCCTTATTATTAACGTAAAGTCCACCTTCAGAGTTTCAAGACTTCCGATAGCGAAGACTCTTATGTCACACCGTTCGCCGTGGGATCAGAATAGAATGACTCACGAATTTGTTCGTGTAAAACGAACGATAAATGACTCATCGAAGAATTATTCTGGAATTCAGATTAAGCAGCAATTTTTACAGTGACTTCTCTAGATTTTGACGGCTTGACGTCTAAATCACTATAAATCTATTCAATTTCTTCGACGCTAAAAGTGAGACTATTTTCCTGTTAACTTGTACACTCTTGCTTAACTCTTTATTTCCTGGCGATACTTTGTAGTACCACTTATATTACAATAAAAATCTGCCATGAACCAATATGCTCAGAATTTGGCTGGGACTTGTAAATATTTACTACTTCTGTGTTAGATTTGGACACCATATTTAGCTATTTGAATAAAAAAATATATAAACAATAAAAAAACTACATTTAAACAGTTTTCAAATATTTAGAATATAAGTTACGGTAAAAAAATAACGATAACATAATTCATGCCTCAAAGGGTTAATACTCGTATAAGATTCGAGTTTAATATTTAAAAAATATTAAAACACGACGTACGGTAAACATTTTATTCACATCGTAACTATTCTTTGAAAGATGATTTTTCAATTGCCGATGGATATACTCCAATATTTATGAACAGCAATGTTCAGTGCTCGATCATTAGTCGTATTCACAAAATTACAAAGAATACAATTTTCGTACTAAAACTTCCCATTTAATGGATTTAGTAGCGCCAGTTACCGTCAGTGACCTTAATGGCGCGACTGAAAGTCAAAGCCTCCGTCGGCAGTGTAGCGGCAAGTATAACGGCGATATACGATCCACAGACTTCAAAGAAATGTTGCGGCAATCGAACGAAGACATCCCAAAGTTACGCGGCGTTTTGCTGGATAGACGAAATAGGAGGGATAGAAGGCGAAGACGGGGGGAGGTAGCAAGGGAAGAGAAAGACATGCTTCGGAGGCGAGGTACAAGGGAACTAGTAATGACCTATTGTTTCCTGCAAAAAGCCTTGACGATGTTATCGATAATTACGAAATGATACGGGAAGCATAAATACATATCCCGAGATCGCGTTGCACGTTCATTGGAATTAACGGACAGGTATCGATAAGCTGTCGTGGCTCGTCCCGTCCTATTTGTCACGTTCCGCGCGGCGGTGGAGGTGGTGGGGAGGACACCGGTAGAATCGAGGCTGATGGAGAGGATCGAGAGGATCCCCGATAAAGATCGTCCGCCCGCGATCGTCACATTAGCGGCGGAAGTAGTTGAGAGATAATGGCTTCTTTGAACGTTCCTAACGACGCTGCTTTTGTCGTTGTTCTATCAACAATCGGCCGTTCAGAATTTTCAGTTACGGAATTACGGGAAACTCGAGCGTATCTTCCGGTCTTTCGTTCGTTTCAAGGCTTCTTCTCTTTCTTTCCTTGCTCCTTTGATCCACGAATTTTGCCCGATGAAACGTTACTGATTAGTAGTACTTCCGTCGAGGCTTTCGATAACGATTGCAAATGCAATTCTTCGCACTCTGAGCAGACCTACAAACGAAATGTCTGCCGTTCCACTTCAAATATGCGTGTCACTGATTGTCAGAGACACTGAAGTTTCAGAAACATGATTGTTCTATATCCATGTTGGTAGTATTGATCTACAGTCTTGTAGAAAAGAAGTGACAAGTGAATAACCGAAGAAAAAAATTAGCTCTTTTCTTAGATAGAAAAGTTTACAGTATCTGGTAGCAGACAAGTCTATTGTATATACTCGTAATAAAGGTCTGTGGTAAATCTACTGCATCCAGTTTTTTCATTAATGAAACACAGGTGAAGTTAATAAATATTTCATATTCCGTAGTATTCCATGATTTTGATTTTTTGCTACGACAGTCAATCGTATTGCCCAACATGGAGACACCCGGTCTCGGGAAAGGTTAAGTATACGGTGACCCACAAATATCTTTCGAAGATTATGTATACTATGGTTTCAGAAGCTTCTCAAACTTCATAAAACTTTTTTTCGAAAGAATGTACATACACAGTCCTATATGTAGATTCAGTTTCGATTTGATCGTCAGACGGTAGCCATTACGTAGTCGCGGTTCGAGCTTGATGGGTGGCAGGATTTCGATCACACCGAGGCGTTTCTTCGTCTTGCACCCTATTCGCAAATTGATGGTTATTCGACTTGCCCGGCGTTCTGAGCATCGATCGATCACCAATCACCGATTCGATATACGAAATTGTGGCTCATTGCAGGTTCCGCGTGAGCAAGAACCTGCTTCGGAATAGCTTTTAGGCTCCGTGGTCACGCACTTTCGGATCTGGTACCGGGGCATTGATCGGTTTCTGTCGTGTTAACGCCTGTTTCTACGTTTTCTGTGCACTGGAGCATTTTCATTGACGCCTCTGCGAAATGTTATGGTGCCAAGAGGTTTGGTGCCGCGTGTCTTTGTAATTTGATTCTTTCTTTTCGCGGAATTGTTATCACTAATTTGATTATTTGAAAAAAGAAGTATCTTTACTGCGGTTTTGTCAATTGCACGTCTGCAGATCCAGATAAAAGGAAAAGCCGTAGAATCCAAATTCATAAAAGTACAGTGACGAGTGAATACGTGTATTAAGTTGAGTCATAAGTAATTGTCGTTCTTTTTCTAACTTCATTATTCTTCTGAAAAAGTTGCAGAAAAACTTCCGTCTAAAACGTATTCTCCATTATTAAGTAAAACTTTTTCCCATTTATCTGACAGCTTGTCAGTCCTTGAAGCAAAAAGGTTAGGTAGTTTTGACAAGAAGAATGTGTCGATGAACTCTCCCACAACATTACACGACGTATACTTATGTTATTTTGATTTCTCCCCTTGAAATAAACAGAAAATTGTACTAGTAAACGTACTCAATGTACTCGATCTACACTTGCCGACTGTTGCTTTTAGACTATTTCATCCTTGTTAGACATAAAGTAACCACCATGACGAGAAGGGACTGCAGGTCATTTGGAACTCCCGAAAAAGTTTATAACCCAAGTATACACCTGCACTCATAATCCTACTTCTGATACAACCCAATATTTTCAAACTGTATTTCTACATTTTTACAATAAAGACATTTTTCAAACATAATCCCGTTAAAGAAAGTTTAACGAAAAACCTCCAAAATATTCATGTGGTTAGAAATAATAAATATACACGTAAATATAAATTTGAAAGCTCATAAATAGATGAATTGATCGATACTTTTTAGGTAGGAAAACGTTATGTGCACTTCTCACGATCTTGATTTTTGGATTTCTTTGTTTCTTTCCAATCGTGATTGGAATCACAAACCATTTCTTCTTTATCCAAACGATGTGAATTTGGTTAAGCGATAATAAGTACACTTACCCAACATCAGAGTTGTACATTTTATTCGAATGATACATATGTATTGAAAAACAGCTGTATCTAAAATTGTTGTCCTGAACTTTAAACAGTTAATGAAATTAAATAATTGTGTACCAAGTGTCTACTCATCCAAGAAGAAATGTTGTTTCATTATAATAATTGGAATTTCCACATTTAATAAATTAGAAACGGTAAAATACTTTTTCATCTTTTATTCGTTATTCGAAATTGTTTATCTAGATAATGAATTTGCTCATTTGTACCCTACGTAAGATTTTCGTTGCACGAGCGCACGTGCGGAGTATATTCAAGTGTCGCAGCTGGCGTCGCGCAATGTCGTGGCCTGTCAAACGCCGAGCATTCTTTGTGTTCCGCCGGCAGAATATCCCGAGTATATCAGCTTCCTTTGCGGCCTCCGAACACGCGCCCATACCCCGCCGCCGCGAGTGTTTCTATTTTTATGCCTAGCCACCGAATCATCAACGTGTCCTGTCCTTCTTTTCTACTATTTATTTTATGACGGTTGACTAATGCGTGAGAGGCATCGGG